AGTAGTCAGTAGTACTATGGCTTAACTCCGTTTAATGTGAGTGTGTGTATATATATTTATATGCTTTGAAAGAGATTGGATTAGGAGACAAAGCACACATTCTTATCCACGTGTCTCACCTACCATACGTTGCCGTTTCGTTTTCTTTTAACGCCGTTACTTAACGCAGTGAATCTTAACCAAACCTTTTTCCGGCATTAAAGAAACGGCCCATTTCAAAAAGTTTTTTCAGTTACGTATCTTAACTTTTCTAATTATTTGGGCCGTAATTAATATTGGCCCATTTCTCTTAACACGACGTGCGACACGTGTTCCACGTTCTTTTACCTCTCTTCCTCTTTTGAGCGAAAAAAGAGAAAATTGAAAATTTCAAGCTGCGAAGAACAGACTCAGATCTACCTTTTGATTCTTCGATCTAGATCCGTGAAAAATGGCTCTCGAATGGGTTGTTTTAGGTTACGCAGCGGCGGCTGAAGCGATCATGGTCGTGCTTTTGACGATGCCTGGGCTTGACGGACTCCGCAAAGGATTGGTCACCGTCACTCGTAATCTCCTGAAACCGTTTCTCTCGATTGTTCCATTTTGTCTCTTCCTTTTGATGGATATCTACTGGAAGTACGAGACGATGCCTTCGTGCGACGGAGATTCCTGTACACCGTCGGAGCATCTCCGTCATCAGAAATCCATGATGAAATCGCAGCGAAACGCGCTTCTTATCGCGGCTGCACTTGTGTTCTATTGGATCCTTTACTCGGTTACCAATTTGGTTGTTAGGATTGAGAATCTTAACCAGCGAATCGAGAGGCTCAAGAACAAGGATTGATCTACTTCTTCGTTTCAGGTCCAATCAGTGTAATCCCTTTTTTTGGTTTTCGAGTAATTATGTTTGCCCTGTTTCGTTAGGTTGTACTGTTTTCCCGTCTCATGAGTTTCTGAATTGCGTGTATTTCTTCTGGAGATTGAAGGATCTATCCTACTTTGTATTTCTGCTTGGTTTCTGAATTGTTACCAAATTGAGATTGTTTTTGCTGAATCTTAATTGTCCCATAATCTTCTCTGCAGACCACAAATGATACGATCTTACCAAATTTATTGAAATCAACATTGGTTGATTGAGATTCCATGCCACACACTGTAATCTCTGTTATGCTGACTATGAATTAGAGCTAGTGAATACAGATTTGGTAATCAGTGAATGAAGATTTGGTTTTTGCTGTGTTCAATTTTCTGATTTCTGGGTGAAATTCAATCTCTTTGCTAGGTGCATTTCCCCTGTTATACTGAAATCATGATGCATCTGAAATGTGAAGTAGTTGTATGTGCTTGATATGTTTGTTATACACAAGAATCTATCCTGAACCTTAGATTGATATTCCTTAGAAGATAGCGAAATGGCGTAGAATAGATCAATCTCTCGTCCTCGAGTTTTCTTCTAGGTAATTCAGCTTTAGAGTATCCTCAAACCTAAGTGGCCCTTGGTAGATAATGTAGGAAAGAAAACTGATGATCATGTATTTGCTTCTACATGGACCTTGTTGTGAACTTTTGGCATTCAATTATCCGAGTTCTCTTAGTTGTAACGTTTGAAATGTTTGAATTTGGACACTCTTACTTTCGAAATGTATTGACTCGAAGATGATATTGAGATTCATGTCCAATGTCTTAGTGACAGGAACTCAACACAGCCGTAGTGTGCTATAGTTTTAATCAAAAATAAACATTTTCGTAGCCCACAAATCTGTCTTTGTTTATAACTCATTTAGGGTGGCATTAGAGGAAGATAATTAAAGTAAACAATATATTATTCTGAATCGTTGTGTTTTACCAGTACAAATAAAAGTAGTAGAAAAATGGTAAATTTGTTTTACGCTGAAAAAAAAAACGCAGAAGAAGAAGCAAAGTAGATGAAAACATTCTACTTCCATTATATTTCCTGAAGACCTGAACTAAA